TAGGACTCAGTCAGAGCAGCGCCCCGGCTACAGCTCGCTCCGGCTGAGAGCCCCTGGTCTCCCCTCGGGGAGCCGTCCACCCCAGAGGGACGCCAGGGATGGGCATGACCTCCTGCTGAGCCTGCAGCCGCAGTTCCCGGAGGGATGGTAGTTCTTCCAGACTTTTTTTTTCCCTTTCTTTTTTTGCTTTGTTTTTCTGGTTCTAACTTCTTGCCACATGGCATTCATGCCTGCTCCACAGAGCAGCGGCCTTAAGGGCACACGCATCTCACAGACAGTCCTGCAACAGGGGCAGTTCCCCCGCTCTGTTCCTCCTGTTTAGGATGATTGTGACCAGAAGCTCAGACTTCCTCTCACTCCGAGCGCTTGGCTGGTCCCTTGTTTGCCTGTATCATAATCACCACAGCTGCTGCTATTCGGTATTGTTTATTATACTTCGCATTCTGCCTCTTGTGTACACATTTGTTATTTGTCTTTAAAGGACTGCCATGAGCCCTAATTCTGTTCTTTTCAGATATATCTCTCGGAGAGCCCGGCAAGCTACTGAGAGTATCCTGCCCGCATGGCAGAGCCTGGCAAACTCCCCGTGGAGTATTCAATATGCCAAAAACAGTAACAAGTCTCACAATGGAGACATTACTCATGCCCGCTCGAGCAAATCGATGAACAATGGGGAGGACAGTGCTACTATATGTCTTTGGGGGGGGGGGGGGGAATTGGGGACCACACCCAATGTTGCTCAGGGGCTACTCCCAGCTCTGTGTTTGGGGGCTGCTCCTTGCAGTGCTCAATGGGACCATGTGGTGTAGAAAATCAAACCCAGGCCTATGAATGAATGCAAAGCCTGCTCTCAGTTTACTGAGTTCTCACTAGCTCTCTAAATTTTAACAAAACGGATTGAGGACAGCACAGTGGGGAAGGCCTCTGTTCAATCCCTGGCATTCTGTACGGTCCCCTAAACACCACCAGGAATGACTCCCAAGCACAGCCAGGAGTAACTCCTGAGCATCACCAGGTGTGGCATTAAAACAAAAAAAAAAAAAAGAAGAAGAAGAAACTGACTCGTTTCCATGTCCCCCCCACCCCGTCAAAGAGCAGTATCTACAATATTTTTGAATAAACAGCAGTAACACACACAAAGCCCAAAAAGATTCTCTAATGAGATTAAAGATTCCCCATACCCCCCCCCCCAAGACCTGACTCTAAGAGACCAAGCCATAGCTGGTTCTGGCGAGCAGCCAAATGTGATTCCTAATATCCAAGCACACCTGCCTCAGAACCCCTCGACTGCCAATAGCTGGAGACCCAGGTTTTTGCACTAGTATCTAGCACCTGACCGGCAATTAACAGTGGGCAGCTAGGGTTTTGCTATGGCAGCACAAATGGATGGCACGCAAACTCATTTCCAGGGGACTGTCGCTCACTGCTAGTGGTAATGTTGAGTGGTCCAATCTTTTGGGAAAACAATATTAGACACTTTTCAAAAAACTGGTAATGGAGCTTCCATAGGACCCACTTCCATGATTGCACTTCTTGACATCTCCACCCAAGGGCCCAAAAATTGTTATTCAGAAAAAAACATTTGCACTCCTATGTTCAGTGCAACACTGCTCACAATATCCAGAATCTGGAAACAGCCCATGTGTCCAGGAACAGACGACTGCACAAAGACGCTACAGTCACAGTCACAGTCACAGTCACACACACACACACACTCACACACATACACACGGATATTATAAGAAAATGTAAAATGCAATTTGCTGCTACATGAATGGATCTGGAGACAATCACGCTGTGTGAAGTTAGTCAAGGCAGAGGAACTGGAGCCGGAGTGTTAGTACAGTGAGTACAGCGGGTAGGGTATTTGCCTGGATTCAATCTCCAGCATCCCATATGATCCCCTGAGCAGGATCAGGAGTAATTCCTGAGTGCAGAGCCATGAATAACCCCTGTGCATCACCAGATGTGACCCCAAAAAGCAGAAAAAAAAAAGAAAAACTCAGTAGGGAATAACAAATGCCCAAAGGCCACAGAAGCTAAGCACTGGTCTTTAGCAGGAAGCTGAGCACAGAGTGAGGGGTAGGGGCCAGGGCAATGGTGGAGGGAAGCCAACACTCAGTTGGGGGAGAGGGGGGGTCCGGTGCTCGGATGTCTCGTGCATGGAACCCTATCACTGACACTTCTATAATCCACAGCGCCTAAAGTAAAAACAAAACAACCACCTGGATGGTCAAACACTGTAGCCTCACAGCTCTCAAGCACAGATGGACAGCGACCTGTCAATCCATTTCAACGACAGGTAAATACCTTCCTGTGGCTCCCAGCTTCTGTGTTAGGCTGTGAGGAGGCACAGATGAGCGAGGGACGGGGAGGGGAGATAGTCCCTGAGAAGCCAGCACAGGCTCCAGGGCTGATGAGTGGAAGACAGTGGTGCAGGGCAGGCAGTCGCCGGCTGCAGCGTCTCACCCCAGCTGAGTCACCCGTGCGTGGGCACCTCCAACCGCCAGGCCCTCAGCCCTCTTTTATTTTTCCTGTGCCAACTCTCTCTTTGGCAGCAGGATCGTCGCCCACAGAATCAGCCTCTGCCCACTGGGGCCCCTCAGTCTTTATGGCTCTCCCAAGTCCCCTCTGCCCCCTCAATGCAGGGTCCAGGATTGGCATTTTAGATCCCCCCCCCCCAAGCACTGCCAGGCATTGCCAGCAATGATCCAAAGACTCAAAAAAGTGCCAAGTTTCTGAATGTGTAAGAAATTAATAGGGGCTGGAGTGATAGTACAGCGGGTAGGGCGTTTGCCTTGCACGGCCGATCTGGGTTTGATTCCCAGCATCCCATATGGTCCCCCGAGCACTGCCAGGAGTAATTCCTGAGTGCATGAGCCAGGAGTAACCCCTGTGCATCATCGGGTGTGATCCAAAAAGAAAAAAAGAAAAAAAGAAAAAGAAAAACTAATGGACAGCTACTCTAGCTGCAGGAGGCCCAGGCCCACCAGGCTCACAGCTCGAACACGGGGTCAGGGGCTCCGCACTCCCCTGAGTGCTGTTTTCACCCCGGTAAGACTCTGGATCGGTCCTGGATCCAGAAAAGGAAAACACAAATCACAGTGCAAAGCATGGGGGCAAGGGGAATTTTGCCCCAACCAGAAGAACACATTATAGTTATATATCTGAGGGGCCAGGGCAACAGTACAGTGGGCAGGATACCTGTCTTGCATGTGGCCGACCCATTTTTGATCACTGGTACCCTACAGGGTCCCCTGAGCCCACTAGGAGTGATTCCTGAGCACAGAGCCAGAAGTAAGCCCTGAGCACAATGAAGTAAGAAAAAGAGGGAGGGAGGGAGGGAGGGAGGGAGGGAGAAAATTGCAATATATGACTGTACAGAAAAAAAAAAAAACCACCATTAGGGGTACTTGTTTAAAATGCAGAGAAGGATACCCAAATGACAAGAAAGCAGCAAGAAAGAAATGACAGGGGCCGCAGATAGTTCAGTGGGGAGGGACCTTGCCTGGCACGCAGGTCTGATCCCTGGCACCCCACATGCTTCCATAAGCCCCTCCAGGAGGGAACCTGAGTGCACAGCCAGGTGTGAGCCCTGAGCACCTCCAGGTGTGGCCCCAAAATAAAAAAGAATGACTCGCCGTGGCTCAAGTCCAAGCCCAGCACTTGTGTAAGTGGCCCCCAGAGCACTGCTGCGGGGGGCACCATCCCTCCTAATGGTAGGAAGAATCATTTCAGAAAGCAAAATGGAGACGGGCTGGGAGGCTCTGAGTGCAAGCAGGGGAAGCAACAGCTGAGACACGGTTATTTCACATCCACAGAGATGAAAGAAGGCAGGTGCCACTCACAGACCCTCGGTGAGCCGAGGGAAGGCAGGGCATAGAAGACACCGCGGCGAAGCCCCCAGCTGGTCACCCGCGGGTGGGGGAGCCTTTCCCTACAAAGACTCCCAACTCCAGAACCAAACGCAGGAGTGATCCCAGAGCACGGGACCAAAGCGAATACCTGGGCAGTGCCAGGGTGGCCCCCAAACAACAAAGCCTCAGGAAGAAATTGGGGGGGGGGGGGTGTCACAAGAAGACTGAGGCCAATTTTGCAAATGTGAGATTTCTTTCTTTTCTTAAAGGTCAAGTAATAGCTCTAAGACCCTCCAGCCGTGAGACGACCTCTGGAAGAACACTGGCACTGAAAACAATTCAGGTGTACTATCAGCCTCATCAGCCCCATTGACGTCTATCCTGGCGGAACCGCCCCCACCCGGCTCGGACACTCTCTGAACACTAATTCATTCATCCTTCCTGCTTGAAGGGCAGGTCTGCAGCTGAGTAATGGGTCATTTGACAAGAACATATCTCTTGGGGATAAAATTAAGCCTACAACATCCTCCACGTCACGGTTCAGCACAGAGCGAGTCAGCACTGAGCCAGCTTGAACCTGTTCAGGGCCACGCTTCCCCTCCAGAAGGTAATCCCCTCAGGTGCTACTGCAGGGAGCCGGGCCAAGAGCAAGAGTCCGCCTCAGACTTCCCAGAGAACATCTCCTGGAGAACCTTTGCTTCTCCCAGGAACCTGTTTTTCCCAGTGATGCTCAGGGGTCACTCCTGGCTCTGGACTCAGGGATCATTTCTGGATGATCAAACCCCGGTCAGTTATGCACAAAGCAAACGCTCTAACTGCTAGATAATCACTCCGGCCCTTTCTCCCGGTAACTTAACTGGCACAAAAACCCTGAGTAGTAAAGCCAATCTGGAACTGATTTAAGAAAAATGCAACTCAGAAGGCTGGGGATAGCGCAATGGGTAAGGTGCATGCATTACACACATGCAGCCGAACCCGGCTCAATGCCCAGCGCCATATAGTACCCCCGAGTGCCGCCAGCTGACCCCGGAGCAACGAACCAGGAGTAGCCTCTGAGCACCACGAAGTGTGATCCCAAAACCCCAATCCTCTCTCCTCACCCCCCTCCTTTCATGGGGAAAGGAAGACAGGAAATACTGTTACCGGAAGGGTAAAGAAAGTTGGGTGCTTGGCTTCATCTTCGTATTTGCCTTCCGTGGAACTCCCGGCCTCCATGGACTTGGCTGTAGTGTTCTTGCCAATACCCATCATTAAGACCAGCCGAGCGGTGTGGCCGTTGGACCCGAGTGGCCGGACGTGGAGGCTTCTTCAAGCGCGGAGCCCGGGATCACGGTCGGCTCGTCCAGTGCCCGCCGCGCCGAGTCTCAGTCAGAGCTAAGTCCCACAAGTGCCATCTCTTAGCACCTAGGGAAAAAAAGAGCAAAGCAGCCACATGACATCAGGGACATAAGCGGCCCAGGCCCCTGCAGAGAGGCTTGCCTCACACACACCCGTGTTTCCCACAAGGAAGAATCCAACAATTCAAGCCCGACATTCAACATCCCAAATGCCCGTCTTCCTACTCGGGCCCCACTTGCTTTTCTGGTGGTGGTAACTAATACCACACCATCCAAGGATCCCAGTGCAGGGAAGACAGTGCAGGGAGGCAGCTCCGAGGGCCTGAGGTGCATGCTTTGCCGGCGAGAAGCCTGGGTTGGGTCCCCAGCACCAAATGGTTCCCTGGGTACTGAGGGGAGAGGCCCCCGACCCCATGAGGTAGAGCAAAACCCAGATGATGAAAACAAAATCACGGCCCAAGGGCCTTTCTTTGACGTGTGTTCTGATTCGTCTCACAGTCCAGGATTTGCTCCAAATGCAAATGCCCATGAGCTGCCATTCCAACCCAAGTGCGGTGGCTCACAGGGCTCTTAAGCAGTGGAAAGGTGGTTGGAGGTAGAGAAATTCCAGACTTTTAATAAAGATTAATTAGGATTAACTAGCATGTAGTACGGTGGGTCAGGTGCTTGCCGTGCACATGGCCAACCCGGATTGGATCCTGGGTATCCTATAGGGTCCCCCCAGCACCACCAGGAGTGAGTCCTGAGTTGCAGAGACGGGAGTAAGCCCTGAGCATCACCAGATGTGGTCCAAAACTAGAATCAAAACAAATGAAAATCTCACGTTGGGGCTGGAGACAGTACAGCAGAGAGGGAGCTTGCTTTGCATGTATGTGGCAGACCTGGGTTCAATCCCCAGCACCCCATATGGTTCCTGGAGCCCTGCCTGAGAACCTGAGAATCTCTGGATGTTGCCCCCTGAGACAAAACAAACAGAAATTCTGTTTCAAATGACAACACACGCCTGAAGAAAGTTCTGGTGTTAAAGGAGGAGGTTAAGTAACGACCAGCAGGCAGGGGAGGAAGGGATCAGGCACAGCAAAGCCAAGCTGGATCTCACATGCTCAGAGAACCTGGTATTTAACAAGAAAAAGTGCAGTGGCCAAGGAGGTGACTCAAAGGGCTGAGTATGCTCCGCACGCAGGAGGTCCGGGTTCAATCAACCCTCGGCACTACACAGCCCCCAAGCACTGACAGGCATGACCCAGAAACCAAATCACTAACCAAAAAAAACAACAACAACAAAAACCAAGTGAAATTCAAAAACAGGAAACTACTGACATAATTATATGTGATCAAGTTTTGGTGACGCAGAAGAAAATCAAGAACTTAATTTCCAAACACCCGAAGTATAACTTGGACAATACAAGCGATTAACACGCATTTGGGGACTCTGGCTTCAAATCTGAGAGGGCACAAAGAAATCCTGCCGGGCCTGGCCTGGGTACAGGGAAGGAAGCATGCCCCGATAGGCTTCGATTTTTACGAGAAAGAAAAAGCGTAAGGGTGAGAAAGGACAGGGAACATTCCGTGGCACTCGGGACGAGGATGAGGTCGGCTCTGAGCAGTGGTTCCCCACCCAGAACCACCAGCCCGGCCAGGCAGTCAGTCTGCCACTGTGAAGACAGGCGCAGGAAGCCTTCTATTATGTGACTTCTCTCAGGGACACTTCCCATGCGGCCAAGGCTTTGGGGAAAACAAAAAGGCCAAGATTGGGGTGGCATTCTGAGAGTCCCGGGGTGAGGAAACAAAGAGGAAAGGGGAAAGAACATTCTGGGCCCCTTGGAGCAGGCAAGAGCTTACAGAGCCAAATTATTATTTTTTTTAAGTGGCTCTTCTGATTGGAATGTCCACGCACCCGGCGCCCGCTTCACCCAGGTCCAGATCCACAATGGTTGAGAGCCATGGTATCTGGCTAGGGCCAGTTTCCCTGCTGGCTCCACTGGACCGGTTCTGGAGATGGTTCTGCCTCTCCTCCTCACAGTGCGCTTGGTATTGAAGGGGTCGCTGAGCCGTGTACGGTGCGGGGACCACCCCACCCAAAATGGTCTGGGGGCGCCACGGCCGAGAAACCCTTGTCTAAAAATCCCTTCCTCCCACAATCCCAAAGTGCCCTGATGCTCCTTTGCACAAGGCTCCTGGTGTTCCCCAGCCACAGGGACAGACGAGCCACCTTCAACTCAGGGCCATGTGGGATGGAGCCAAAGGCAGCTCTGTGACCTTTGGATACTTTTCCATATTCCACAGAGAAGGACGAATGGGTCATTATCTTTGCCCCCTTCTCTCCTGATGTTTGCAGGGGGTCTCAGGGTTCACTTTACAGTTCCCAAAGCACAGAAGGATTGTATATCCAGAAGGACTGTCACAGACACACCCTAAAGGCTCCAGTCGAGGCCCTGATACTGCGCGCAGATCACTTGGAATTCCCTTTCTTCATCGACCCTTTTTTATGCCATTCTTAAAAGTGGTTTCCAGACACCAGCTCCCAGCAGAGGCCTGGCCAGCCCTGAGGCGTCTGTCTGCTCTGAGGATGCTGAGGACCATGAGCTATGTGGGGGCTTCGGGTCTCGTGCCTAAGGCCTCCCTGTCCTTAATCACGGACTTCACCCAAGCAGAGTGCTCAGGGACTCTCTGACTTCCGACACCCATGGGGATTTCACTGCAAAGCCCAGCCCAAGAGGTAGGAGAGCAAGCAGCCGGGAAGAGAGGAGACTCAGCGGGGCAGCAAGAGGACAGCTCTGCCTGGTGGTCGGAGCTGCTGGCTGTGGGGAAGAGGCAGAGCAGGAACAGGAAGGTGAGGACGGCGGGACAGCAGCGATGGGGCAGATGGGAGAGAGACACAAGGCGAGTCTCCCAACACCCACCAGAGGAGAGGCCATGGTGAAGGCGAGAGAGTCCAATGGGCCAGGAGCCTGCAGTGATAACTGACACTGCTTTGGGGCTCAAGCTGCCATCTTCAAGGTATTTGTCAAAAACCACCCAAGGGCCAAAAACCACCTAGGTCAGGGCCAGAGCAACTGAAGCAATTTGTCTGCCAGTCGTGCCAAGAATCCCCAGAATGGGGGGGGGGGGGGGGGCGCGCGGCACGCGCTGTGCGTGCACTCAGGTCACCTGAGCCATGGGAGACTTGAGAAATAATGAATCAGGGCCAAAAGGATAGTACAGCAGGGAGAGCACTCACTCCCTTGTACACGGCCAACCCAAATTCGATCCCCAGCATCCCATATGGTCCCCCAACCACCAGGAGGAGTAAATCCTGAGCAGAGAGCCCGGAGTAAGTCCTGAGCACTGCCAGCAGTGGCCCGAAAAACAAAAACTCCCCCAAAGTTAATTCATTAAATAGATCTAAAGTCATACCCTCTGAGGAACTCGAGAAAAAGTCGTTAACTAAAGTACCAGATAGTGTTCTTGAAAATGACACATGAGTGCCAATGGAAATCTCTTGACAGACACACAACTGGGAACCAAAGCTGTAAATTACTGGAAGGATTCCAGGAAGAGCTGCTGGGGCCAGAAGGCCTTCCCTGGGACCGGGGTTCTCACAGACAACTGTGAAGCAGGCACAGAGGAGGCACAGAGGAGGCAAGGCAAGGTACAGTCAGTTCCCACTGCAGAGACAAAGGTCCCTCAAAACAAATGCAGGAGGTTGGAGGTGGGGGTACCAGGCACCTCCCCCCACTCGGATAGGCCCACTCAAACAGCCTCAACCCCATGGAGGGAACAGTCTAGAAACGCTGGTCAGACAAAAACAAAAACATACCAATAAAACCAAAATGTTTACGAAGGAAAGATTAGATGTGGTATACTGCCTTATTATATAATATATTACATCAACTTCTTATCCAACAGCCCAAAAAAAAAAAAAAAACTCGAAAGAAAAAAGCCAGAAAGAGCTGATGTTTGTGCAGTTCTGAAAGGCAAGCCCCAAGACTCTTGCCTCCAGTTGGGGCAAAGCGGCTGGCCTCCTCCAACAAGCACCGTGCGCCCTGCATTCTGTTCTGTGCCGTGACACCTCAGGGTTCTCCCCAGCCTGCCTGGTTTTATGGGGATGAGTATCTACTGCCAGAATCACTATGATTCTGCAGGCAGCCACAAGGGAGCAATGGTGAGAATTACAACGGCTCTTCTAAGATCTGCTCTCTTTGGGACCAAGTCCCTCAAGAATCCAAGAGGGCTGGAAAGTTTCTAGGGCTGCTGAGACAGAAAACAAAAACCTTTTCCAGGAAGATACTCTTCACAGTGGCTCCACCAATGCCATCAGCATTTGACAGCAGGCGACTTTTCAGAGATGCCACCGGGGCTCCGATTCGCGCATTTTGATTCCATTGGAAAGCATGTGCTTTACTTCCTGATTGTCTATTTCCTGTAGTCCTCACTCAAGACTCTTTCTTTCTTCCTCTTTTGGGGCCACAGCCAGTGGTACTCAGGGGCTACCTGGCTCAGGGCTGGCCTCTGATCCCTGGAGATGCTCAGGGAATAAATGGGTCATGCCCGAAAGGGCCCACAAGCGCACAGCCCTTGGCGGTTATCTCCCTGATCCCTCCTTAGAAACGTGGTCAGCTCCTGAGTTTTAGGATCTTTCAGAAGTTTTCACTTTTATGTAATCGAATCCATCCATCTTCAGCAATCTGACAGCCACCTGCTACCCCATCCACTCCCCAGGGTCTAAAAATACACACACAGCTTGACAATGAACAGAGACAAAAATAAAACCTGCCTGAGTAGCCCCAACAGATCCTTAGCTCAGCCACCAGGAGCCTGAGATTTGACAGAAGACACGACAAGCAAAGAGGCCGGGGGAAGAGTCGCTAGGACTGTCTAAGGCCGTGTGCCACATACACAGAGCCAAAGGCAGAGGCTTTGTTCTAAATCCAATCCTGTCACCTTCAGTCCTCCAGCAGAGTTTCTGAGCCTGTCCTATACCTGAGGGCTCATGGAGAAAGCGGAAGGGCTTCAGATGACTTCGGTCTGGCCCTTATCTGCAGGGGGTTGGCATTCCAAGACCTCCCCAATGATACCTGAAACTAA